CCTTGATTTTCTTTGATTTTCTCTGCAAAAATCAAAGAAAATGAAAGTTCTTTGTAACCGCCATATTCCATAATGAATCTGGTCACGGATGAATCTCCCCAAGTGACCGTTTTTTACCGTTAAGGCATTTTTCTCTTTTCTTTTCTTTTCTTTTCTTTTCTTTTCTCCTCCTTTCTTGGACAGTAGGGACCTGTCAGTCCCTACCTATGGCAGTCCCTACTGACAGCCAACTCACTCACTCCCTCTCTCTTTTTTTGTCTTATTCTTCCCCATTTTCTTTTCTTTTCTCTCTTTTTTCTAGCATGTCAAGTGTCAAGTGGCCGTTAAAGCACTTTTTTAGCCTCTTCCTCTTAGTTTTGGCCCTCCCTATGCCCAAGGTGCAGTCCGTTAATTCTCGGACTGCAATAATGATCTTCCCATGCTCATGGAAGCCTCTTTTTACTCCTACATTTCTCCCACAATGGTCCCTCCTACTCCGATTTTCTCCCGGAGGGTTATTTTTCACATGGGGTCTTATTTGACTCTATTTTCTTGAGGGAGGCTGATCCGAGATTTTTCGGATTGCTCCCATGCCTCCCACTCCAGTTTTCTTTATTTTTCCTTTTCCTTTTGGCCTTCCCTATTGTCACCACTAGTACCTGCACTAGTAGTGCTAATATTCTTGGCCGTCAAGATGTCGATCTTGACGGTGCACCTTGCATTTATTATTTTTCCCTTATGCGGTACCGCCGTTTCTTCTTGGGACTTTCACATGTCCCCGCCACTTGTCCCATTGGTGGTCCCCGACACTTAGTCCCGTCGGTGGTCCCCGACACTTAGTCCCGCCGGTGGTCCCTGACACTTAGTCCCGTCGGCGGTCCCCGACACTTAGTCCCGCCGGTGGTCCCCGACACTTAGTCCCATCGGCGGTCCCCGACACATTTCGCCCCGGACGCCATTATTTTTACTTAGTTCTACATGGCTCCGGGTGCCTTTCCCCGAGGTGTCCCATGCCCCTTGGGCGTCTTGTCGCCCCATAGCGACCCCTCTCCTTAGTCTTTTCTTGCGCCTTGTGCATGCCAATCTCTTTTGGTCGTGGGCCTCTGCTCCGAGGCTCCTGTAGGTGGTCTCCATGTTGGACCCTTATTTCCTGACTTCCCGCGGCCTCTGGGCCGCCCATCTCTTAGCTTCCTCATTCCCTTATTGCTGTCGCGCTGCAATTGCTAGTTCAAAGGGCCATTGGCCTTAGTCTTATTGCATTCCGATGGCCCTCACGGCCTCCTGCTATGTTTTATGTGCTTCTGTTCTTGCGCTCGCTTGCTTGCCGTCGCTAGTTCTTTCCTCCTGTGGTTCTCTCCTTAGGGCATCACTCCCTTCTGCGACCTAATCCTTTGTCTTTTCTCTCTCCTGCTTCCTCACTCCATATTTCTCTGTTATGCAAAAATTGTCCGTATTCAATCTCTTGAGTGATGAGAAGTTATTTGGGACCCACCAGTCCCGACACCGTTAGGCAGAATCATGTTGATAAGAAATCATCCTTTCGTAAACTAGTCTCGCTCGTCTTCTTAGTCTAGACTCTAGAGGGTTTATAAGTACGAAGTTGATCTGTTCATTCAGTTACTCTCTCCAAATGTCTACAATTTCACGATATCGCATTTTTCTCCTAGTCCTTAATGCTAGTAGCGTTGTCTCTATCTTAATCAGGAGGCTCATTAAGAAGTCGTATAACCCGTTTCTCAACGTTTCGTCCCTCACATACCCAATCATGAAGTGCATCGGCTGAATGGTGTTCCTAACGTAGTCTTCAAGTGCTTGTATCAGCCGTGCGCGGACAGTGATCCGCCGTCTGACTAATACTCATGTTCCGTTACAGTTGGCACCGCATGTAGTGCAATCGATCGGCATACTGTCAGAGTGATATCCCGACCACGATCACGCCAATCCCAGAAGAATAACCCCAATCCTGAACAATAAAGTCCTAATCTCCAAAGTCTTTCTCCTCATTATCGCTCCAATCACCCACTACCACCTAATCTGGAAAACTCGTCCTCTGCGCACTGGTCCACCTCCGGCACAAAAATCTTCACCGCACTCAATCACACCTTGTTCACGTGAAGACCTTCCCCGCGTATGGATGCAGCCACCGCCCAGAGCAGAACATCTGCCGGTTACTACTTGCCTCAGAGTAGGCGAACTGCGGCTAAACAGTCCGTACAACCGTAGCCATGAGAACTCTGACAAGAAGGACAATCGAAATGGAGTACACCAAGCGGTAGCCCGGATAACTCAAACATTAAGCACACTCGTAAGATCGAGTAACTCAAGCTCACATAAACTGCAAAAGGAGCAAAAAGTTCATAGCACTGGCGGTCCCTCGACCGGTTTCGCCCGTCCCCACCGGCCTCATCAGGAGGGTGGCTCAAAAAGAGTCTTCGCGCTCGACCTCAAGCTCGCAAAAGGGAGACTAAAGCCGTGTCTCCCGTATTTAACGTCGTCCCCGCGGCCACTTCCCCCTCGGCCAACGTGAGTATCTTCGCCCAACACAAGTCCTCTACAAAAATACACACCACCATTTGTATCTAAACCTACAAGCTGTCCAGTTACTTTCTGTACTAATGAAACGGTCTGCCGGTGTATGCAAAAGGGCTGCCAAAAAACTTCGTTGGTCAAAACTGTCAACCGGTAGTTGTGTCAAAATGAGAATCCTAGGCCTTGAATCTGTACTCGGTCATACTCCTATTCCAGATTCTCTCCTGAAGTAGTAACTCACCGACCCCGGATGTACGCCGGCAAGATTGCGTCCCATTCAGAGCGTCGAAATCACGTTAGTATCAGTATTCGGTCCCAGTCCAGATCACGATATCGGTTACACGATCCGAATGGATAACGGCCAAAATAAAATACCGCAAAATAAAATACCATAAAATAAGATCCGAATACTAGAGCCGGTCAGAACGTCAACCTCTCTGCAGGCCCCGGTAATCCGCACCTATACGTACTTGGAGCCTGGTACATGTAGTAGTCTAAAAAAGCAAAATATCGACGTGGAGGGCTTCGATCCTCCCGGTCGTCCAGGCTAACGAGCATGTCCTGGGTGTCGCCTCCAGTCGTCAAAATTTTCCGGAAAGCCAAGTTCAATTACCCAAATTATAGAATGTTCGACGATCGTCGGGTTCCAACCGAACGTCCTTGTCTAAAAATAGTCCTAAATGCATCGTCTCGATGTTTGATCCTCCGTACGTACGCCGAGTGTTGAAATGCAGATAGGAACACGTGCAGTGCTCGTTCAGGCACAGCCTTGGCCAAGTCGGCCAGGGCACCGAGAGAGAGAGAAAGAGAGAGAGAGAGAGAGATAGATAGATAGATAGATAGATAGATAGATAGATAGATAGAGAGAGAGAGAGGGAGAGAGAGAGAGAGAGAGAGAGAGGGGAAGTCAGGAGTCTGAGTGACAGACTGGACTCGAACGCTGGAAATACCGGATCTCACCACTGGGCCTACGGGCCCGAGATCTGGGACGTATCTGGCTTGCTTTCAGGGAGTAGAGAATTAAACGGTCTTTTCAGTAGGCGGTGTCGGTGGGCAGGATGTCAGAGAGAGTAATGTGCATGAGGATAAGGAAAGCCAGTAGATATTGTCGGATATAGAGAAATAAATAAATAAGGAAGATCGGAAGCTGAACTGCGAAAGGGAGAGTCAGCCGCGGGTAGACACGGCTCGACAGATTCGCTATTTAACTAACAGTTACGAATGAGTCAGTCCTTTGGTTTGGGATCGAGGGACCCCCCTGACGATGATCGGTTGGCAACCGATCAAAACGTGGCGTAGGGAGAAGCCGCTGGTTCGAAGGTGGTGACTGACACTGATGTGCAATGCTGATGGTTTTTTCATGTGTTGTTGGATGGATTGAAGTCGTGCAATTTGCTGTGTTTTCATGTATATCTTCTTATTTTGCGCGTCGTCGGTCCTTTCGTCGGCAAGTGGAATAATTGAATGCATGTGGCTACGTATGTGGCAACTACTATCCTATCAAGAGGAGTGGGGCGATAACCGACCGGGAAGCACACCTAGAAAAGTGGTCGCTTAGCTAACTCAGTGAATAGAAGAAGTGTAGAGGAATAGTGTGGAAGAGGAGTACGAGAAGACAGACATTATATAGCTATGGGCTGCTATACGTGTGGGAAGGATGGTCACTTCGCTAGAGATTGTCCGCAACGAGCGGGAGCGAATGAGAACCAAAATATTGGTAATAACGGAGTTGGTTATTACCGTAATAATGGTTTGACGTGGCAACAAAGAAAAGACATGGATGATATTAGTTGGATGAGGGAGTTGTGCGCGGAGTTGGCGAGAGAAAGAAAGGAGAAAGAAGATAGGCGGAAGGAGGAAGAGCGAATTAAGGGGGAAGAAGAGAGGAGAAAGAGGGAGGAAGAACTGCATAGATCGCACAAAGCAGAGATTGAGAGACAAGGAGAAATACGGGACGCTAGGCTTATGGCTGCGATGACATCACAACTGAAGGTTCTCCATGACAAGCTCACAGGGCAGATGGAGGATGTTCGAATGAAGGTACATGCGAGGGATCAACAGTGAAAGGACGTCAACAAGCTGAGAAGCGAAGTAATCGGACTGGAGAAAGAACTGGCGATTTTGCGCACAAGCACGGGAAACGACAGAGAGGATGATATAGGGATCAGCCCAGAGAGAGATCCGGATCTGGTTGATGGATGACGGCTAGACCTCGATCGGGCATGGGCAATATGGGACTCGTTGGTGATTTACCGACAACGGATTAGAGATAGTAGGATATGTAATCTGATCGATACTGCTTTGCGATGTGTGATCATGATACTCATGCTGTACGGAGAACTACCCTGGGTAGAGAAGTTCCAAGATTTATGGGAGGATGGAAAGATAGATTGGGTACGACCTACGAACTGTGTGTATGCCTTGATTTCGACTAAATGCCGAAAAGTTTACATCGGGCGCACGAGCAGAGTATTGTGCCTTAGATGGAAAGAGCACGTGGTATGTAGCAATGGTAACGACAGTAAATGCCAACCACTCTACAGATGGCTACGGAAAGTGGGAACAGATGATTACGTAGCTGTACCGCTGATGGCAACAGAAAATGACGAAGATCTTAAGAGGATCGAGAGGTGCTTTATTAAGCGATGGTCTCCGACATTCAACCCTCAGGATAGGCACTCTACACAATCAAAGAGACGTAAGAAGAGGCTAGGAAAACGGGAGAGGAAAGGGAGGAGGAGTTTAAAAGTAATGCGGGGTAGCATTCTTCATTTCGAGGATGAGAATGGCGCTCGGACTACGAAGATCTCTGATTATCTACAACAGGCAATTAAGAGTGGGAGTAAGGATCTGCACATCGTATGTTCAGGGGATATATGGTGCGAGGACTGGAAAGTCCTCACACGAAGATTCGGAATGTCATTAATCAAGATGCATGGAGTGGCGTGCCTACTCAAGGAAGGGAAAAAGGCAATTGAACAAGGAGGAGTGCTTACGATCAAGGATCCAGCTGAGACAGTCATCTTCCCCGTTAAGATCAGAAGGGAGTTTTTGCTCCTGCTTACACAGCCATGGCGAAGAAAACTGTTGTGGAAGAAAGAAGTTAACGAGTTATCATATATGTATCAGGCTTCTAGAGGATATGACAACAGGAGTAGACAGAGAATGAGGAACATCGTGTCTAGAGTACTAAATGAGAAGGTAGGCATTAACGTAAGGAAGAAGCATACTTTGAAGGTTCCTTATGACGACAGGGTGAATAGAAAGAAGATCAGGGATGTCGCGAAAGAGAAGATTGATGATCTGGGGATGAGTGATGAGATGACCAACATCGTGCAAAGACATATCCGTGTTGTCTTGACCAAGAAACAGACAATTGGTGATTTGTTTCACAACCATCGAGAATTTGCTCGCTCGAATGGTAGCATATGCAATTGTGCAGATAGCCCCTTCCCGTTGGTGGAAGGACATGTTCGATGCTGTTTATCTGATCTCCAAGCACTAGACTTCTTTTTCAATGCACGGAATATACCTGTACAACATACAAGGCAGGTTAGACGAGGCATTATGGCTGCTCTACTGGATGGACTGGGAGAACTTTTTAGTAGTGCAGGAAGGCCGCTCAATATACAGATGATCGACGTGGAACAATGCGTGGAGGACAAGGAGCTGACCTGTGAGGACTGGCTACAGGAGGTGCAGCTTTGGAAACGTCGTCTGGCGGGACTGGTGTGCATGCCGTTGGATAGAAATATGGGTGCAACGTACATCACCCGCCCGGTGGTGTATGCAAGAGCAGTACGTGACACTTTCTGGCATGGCGAGAGCTTTAATATGTGTGAAATGTCGGATGACATGGCACTAGCAAGGTGTAAGGAAGAATACGAGGAGAGGGGATTGCGAAGGCTCGGATCGTGGAGAGGGAAAGGAAGATTTGGAGATGCATACGTGATACCAAAGCAGAAAGATCCTAGCAGGTGGCGACCAATAGCGCCTGCATGGAATGCGCCGATGAAAGAGGGGGCAAAGAAGGTGGCAAGAGCTATGCAATGCATGCTTGGATGCCTCGCTAGAAAGATTCACTTCAACACTCACCTGTTCCGAACCCGAAAATGATCTGCGGTGTGTATCATAACCGTACTATGCCGATGCCGTGCCAGTAGCAGACTCCCACAGTGATCCGAACCTGCCAATAAATTACCCTAGAGTCCCCAAACCTGAAATAACCCG